GTATCCTATGAGTATCGTGTTTGCAAAGCAATTGTTTATTCGAGTCGTAATTCTCAGACGCAGTGTCCACTCGCAAGCAATTCGCGATAGTTCTACTCTTAAAAGGACAGCGTAACGGTTTGAATTTAAAAAGGGCGCGTCTTTTTACCGTGATCGGCGTGCGTCCGCCGAGCAGTAATCGCGCATGCGTCGAGCAAAAAAAAGTATGGCGTACTGTATTGTATTAAGACCACGTGTGTGACGTTTGTTCTCGGTTTTGCCAATAAAAGTAATATAAAATCAGAAAATTTTTTTCCCGCTAACTTTTTTCTGTGCGCGAACAAACAGTTAGCTTATGTTTGGCTCGATGTACGTACAGTGACCCAGGTTCGCGTTTCTATGTTTGACTCGTAAGAAATATCACGAGTTCTAAGAAGTTAAGGCCTAGAATTTTTCCCAGAACAGTTGCGAGTGTATAGCGATCAGAAATCGGGCAGGACGACTCGTCCTCAGTCGATGTTTGCGAGGCTGTCGAACGAGTGCCTCAACAAACGACGAACGTCGCTTATACTGCGTGATTATAGTCTTGTGGGGAATACAGTGCTCGCTCGAACAACGCATTTTCGATTATACGCGGATATTTTTTTGAAAAATTTTGACGTTCATTTCGAATCAATTTACACATTTATCATATGTTCACAATTTTCTCTGTTGCGATATTCTACATCCTTTGGATTCCAGAACACCGATTTTTCTTCAACGAAGAGTAATTAAATCGATAATTTTATTTCTCGACCAATTTCTTTTCCTGACAATTTTTACTCGCACGAGAGTTCTCTCAAGAATACGAAACTACTTCGTGTTTGGAAAGCAACTGTTCGACAGTAGTATGATTACGTATCCATTCGAGAGCAAGTCTCGACACGTTTACTCTCAGGCAGTTGAGCTATGCTCTCGGACAGTCAATCTCAGGCGCGGGAGATACTCTCGAGAGCAACTCGCGATAGTTTTACTTTCAAAACGGCACGTATTTAGGCTTCGTATTTAGTTCGATATAATACAGACAACAACTCTGGCTCGAGTTTCTTGTTTTGCTCGAGTTTTTTATGTTTTGCTCGAGTTTCTTATGTTTCACTAGCAAAAAACATCACGAGCCTCGCGCAATGTTTTGGTACGTGAGGTTCACTAGGCCCAAGTTACATACTTGAGGGTCACTCATACGCCTAGGATTTTTCCCAGAACTGCTTCGTGAACAGGGAGCAGAAATCGGGAAGATCGTCACGTACGCAGTTAGTGTTTGTACCGTGCTGTCACAGTATTGTAGAAAATTCAGTGCTCCCTCGAATAAAGCGGTTTCGATTGTGCGTGGGTTTCGAATCAATTTACGTACTTAGCATATTCGTTCGTATGAATTAAGTGCCGCTGCATACAAGAAGCTAGCGCACCAAAATCAAGTACCCAACGAGCAGCTCAACTTGGGAGAAAAATCAAACGAGAAGCGTGTCTCTGCGAGCTACACAGCTTCACGGTATGTGAAGCTTCTAAGCACTGCACTGCAAGTATTACTCAACTTTAGAGAAAAAGTAATTGAAATACTATTTTAAATAATAGATGCTACAGGGTTTAGATAAAATGCTACTTTAAATAGGAAGCGAAATTTCGGTGAATGAAATATTTTTATACTAACAATCTCAAGCGTAAAATGATACCTAAATAGGTAAATCTTAAGTTTAAGATATTTCTCGACAATGAAAATAAGTTGAGAAAGAAAATTATACTATAACACAAAAGATCATAAACAGGTTTAAAAATCACAAAGCTTTAAAGTGTTTTAACCCTTTCATTACTCTCGACACCTACAGGCGTTTTAAAAATTAGCTCGCACTATATTGTTAGACCTATTTCGCACATTTCCACCGTAATTTAATAAACGAAATTTATAAACAACGCGGCCAGGACAACAAATTTTGCAGTCGTGATTAAAAATTTAGCATCTGCCACACGCGTTACGTATTAAAATCTGTCGCAGCGAAAGAGTTAATCTGTTTTATCTCTCCCCTTTTTTAAATTAAATAGAAGTTACAACGATATAATAGTAGAGGAAATACTTATTTTGAAAAAAAAAAGGCAACTGATACTAAATAAGAGAATAAGAGTAGTTCTATACCTGGTGTTCGAAATTCAACTGTTGAACCATCGACAGTGACACGTCCGTCTCTTTCGACCCGTCGAAATGCCACATCGTGCCACGTGCCGTCGTCAACTCGTTGTTTCGACGACTTTACTTTTACGGGTCCACTTCCGAGATCAGCGTGCAGATATAGGTGGCCACCGAAGATTTCAAACGCAAAAAGGTCTTGCTGCAAGAATGAAAAGAGATTATGTTAACTCGTGGAGCTCGGTGTTGTGTATTAGTAAGGAAATTGTTTATTGTATCCCTTATGGGGTTTGCAGCCTCCTTTCCACTCTTTTAATACTGTACATTACAATGAGAATCGAATAGAATATTCCAGTTTCGTTATTTCTATTTCGTTGAATTAGTAATTGATAAAGGACACGAAGGTAAAATTTTAAATGATAAAGTTGTTTAGCTTATTGTATCTAAAACAAATTGCAATTTCATTATTTATTCATGTTTGCAGTTTGACTCCGGAATTTTTCGTTGTGAGTTTGTGTTATTTGCGAATGATAACAGAGCACTGATTTTGTAGTTTGTAAACTTTTATACACAATTTGAAAGATTGACAAATTTTTTCACAAACGCTATTTTTTTTCTGTACTTTTTTGAAAGTTACAAATTTTTTTACACGAATGTGTATATTTTTTTCTACTATATACTGTGGCAAACGTTGAAATTTTATTCTAGACTCTGAAATTTTAAATCAAACGCGACACTCTCTCATTTTTTTGTTATTTCCTCGACCAACAAAATTTTTAATACGTACCTATTATTTGAAATAATTTGTTATTTAATGCAACTCGGTGAAACGTACTTTCCCCGTGTATATTTGCAGACATTTTCTGCAGACAAGGCTAATAAGTGTCCTCAGGCATTCTGTAGGCTGAAAACCCGTCTTTTGTCATGACGAAGAGTACACGGACTTTTACCCCCTGGTGTCATCTATTTATAGTTTCTGCCAATTACGGCACTGCTATTACACTCTCGGTGGCATAACTTCTTAATGAAGCAAGAATTACTGCACGAGATTTACATAGTACTGTTTCTTTCTACTTACAAGTTGATCTTTTGCAATAAAATTTCAAAAATGTTTATCGACTTTTGAACAAAATTCCTGAACATAGAAATTAGAAAAAAAATCTTCACTTGGCTAATATAGTTGCAAGTTCGATTATTTTAACTGAACAAGAACTGCTAATAAGACGTGAATTATTTAAATATACAGGGTGTTTCGTAACTAGTGGTATAACCCTGAAGATTCTGCATGAAAAAATTAATCGAAAACGTAGAATACAATTGTTTTATAAGAAGCTCCATTTTCGAGAAAATTGAATTTTAAGATTCGTCAATAAGCACTTAACTATCCTTTGGACTTTAAATCATATACACTACCGGCCAAAAATTTGGTATCACCTGCCAATTTACATCAATATTGAATCCGCTACTAATTCTTTATTGCTTTGAAATTGATGTTGTGGAGATCAATAGCACTTTACCTCATTTCAATTGATGTGAACGATAAAAAATTCGTTAAAAAATTATTATAAATGCTACCTTTTTTGGGGGAATTTTTGTGCAACTTGCAATGCACACTGATTCCAAACATTTGGCCGGTAGTGTATATTGATACTTTCTGTGCGAAGGTAATAGGTGTCCTAATACCTATAAACGACGGTGTGTATATTTTATGTCATAATTCATTAAATTTGTTAATACAATCAGTTTGTTACTCGATTCGATAAATTAAACGCCTACGTAGTCAAATGTTCGATTGATTCCAAAAGAAGAACCATTTTGTCTGATTACATTTGTCCAGTATAAGTCCATATAAGTAGTACGCAGGTACATTAAATTAATTTTGAAACACATCACTATTATGCATTACAATTTACACATTTTTTCCCTTAATAAATGATTTCAGATTTACAAAGAGCACGATAATATTCCATTATATCTCCGTATCAAAAGGGCTTTCACAACAATTTCCCAGGGATAGGTTTTTCAAACGGTATTCACGTTTTTATCAGGCAAAAATGTATTTCGATTGAACCCGGTAATTTAATTGTCCTCCTCCTACCATTTCATACAACCCCTTTTCGTTATCTCTTCTATTTTTACTCGAACAAACATCGATTTTTTTTTTACCCATCGTTGCTTTCAACTTTAATTTACATTATCGTTCGTTTATCCCGCTTCCTTCCCCTCTCAATTTCTCCCCCCTTGCCGATTAACTTTTATATTCCACCCCGGTTATTCCTAGCTTTTTTCCTCAACTTCTTTCACCGCGACACGACATTTCTCCTTCTCGTTTTTATCCAACACGCGTTATTTTCGATCTTCGTTCCGTTGTTTCTTCTTTCCCTTCACTTTTTTCAGAGAGAACAACCCACGAATTTCGACCGTTCGCTTCTTGCCCTTTCCTTCCCCCCCGCTATTTCTCTGTATAATTCACGTCGCTCCGAGTTTTTGAACGAGTTACGACGGATTTAACGCGAAATCGCGTCGCGCAAATTTTCGATCGATTCGCGGTGATTAATCGAAACGATTGCGTCATCGAGGCTGTCGATTCGCAGCAGGTTGAAGTATTTCGGGGAAAAAGGGAAAAAGTTTCAATAAGCCGCGGTATTCCAAAGAGCGGGTTAATGAAGTTGTTCATTATTGGCTCGCTGTTTAATATTCGTTGCGCGCTCGTGCTTCTCTCTCGTATTGGATTTTCTTCGATTTTTTTCTCCAAAATTACGACGTTCTTCTTTTTTTTTTTTTAACGTTTTCTCTGTTACAAATGAAGCTACATGGAGTGTGATAAAAATGCTTTTTCTAATGCTTTTATTATTTTCTTTTTTATGTTGTTCGTACATTATTATTAATTTTTGAATAATTATGTACTAATTCTACCTTGATGGAATAAAAGTGCATAGGATAATGCGTAGGTTTTGACAAGGTTTGGAAAAATTATGGTGAAGAATTTACAAGCGTTTCGGTTGCTTCAATTGTGTTGATTTAAATCTCACTTCTATTGTCCCCGAGAAATTATCAAATTTTAGTTGAAACCTTGAAAAATATGACTTACAAGGGAAGTTCGGCAACCCAAAAATTAAAGAAAAATTTGAAGTGACGCTAATAACCAACCATTTTTCGTTTCGGCAGTGAAAACACCTCTTCAAAGAAATTACGAGTTGCCACATTATCGTGAATATTTACAAAACCGTACAAGATATGTCGAAAAAGTTAAATTAAAAATTGTATGATTTCTACTATCGACGAATATCCAAAAATGTAGTTACGATTTCATATTATTTCTACATTAAACAGGGAATTTCCTAAGTATTAAAAAATGAAGAATTTTTAAACGAACCACTTTTATGTGAAATTGTCGCATAGTGCCTTACGCCATTTTCAAAATAAATACATTTGCACTTCTGTTTAACAGTAAAATTTCTATTAACTAATCAGTGAAGATTTCAAAAAGAATTGCAAGCGAAATGGTCAAAGATGAAAAGGCCATACAATTTTGTAACCGTAAGCACAGGGCCGCGTTCGTACTTTTGGAGGCTCCAGGCCTCAAGCCTCAAAATAGCAAGTCTATTTCAGTTAATCAAATTCACGCACATTAATTCTTAAGTTTATCATAAAATAAAAGTCGTCATCTCCATAATAACTCGTCTTAATAAATACGGTCTGTAGAAATTCTACCAACGAACAACACACCTTCATAAATTTGGCGTTTCCGTTTTCACCGGTACTTTATTTTCATATTATGAATTTAATATTGAAAAATAAGTATTTCATTTTGCAACTAAAACCACTCTTTTTCATATTCCCGTTTGCGAGGAGTAAGTTTTTAAAATGTGTCCTCAGCTTGCATTTAATACGCCTTACAGTAACTACGGCTCTGCGTAAGCAGCTTTAACCCTCGCCCAGCCAATGCCGGGTCACTTTTAACCCATGTATTAAGTACAGCGAAGAGGCGCAACGTCTGCTCGTTCGCTAGGCTCGATCTTATCGCTGTAACATAAACAAACGGCTGCGTGGAGAGTTCTAACGTGTTTAGCCAGGCAGTATTGAAGCAGCGAGAAGAAAAGATCGAAGAAGCTAAATAACAGCATAAATATGTTCGGGATGCTACAAATTCATAGGAAACGATATCAAATACAGCTCAACGTGTATAATGTAAGGCGCTGAGCGACGCGCTTAGACAACGACCGCGGGACCCGAGCCGCAGGGAGCGCTAGACAAGAATGAGCGCAGGCTGTACCCCCACTCCACGGCTTGCAGGGTCCTAACGGCCGAAGAACCATATAAAAACGGGAGAAGGGGCAGCGGCCCACGCAATATCGCACAGTCATTGACGAGCGAACCGACGTTATTTTAAGCGCCTGTAATTCCTTAGTCTTACAATAACATGTCTAAGACATATATGTTCACAACATACGATAAAAAAAAATACAATTTTATGTACACAATAAAGATTAGTTCATATAGCAACAATTCTAGTGTGGGTCAGAAGAGACCCGGCGTTGGCGTGCCGCGTCGCTGTTTTCGGTCGGCTGTTCGAGGGTTAACTCGTTTTTCTCGAAAAGTGACTTGTGTCACTTTCGAAACGAACAGCTCACAATGTCGACAAGTGAAAAACAATACAAAAGGACATTGAATTAATCGAAATGTGCACGTACCCTCGTGTGTGCTCCGCTTCGACTGTACATGATCAGCCCGTTAGCCTCGTTGGTACGGATTTTGAACGATATACTACCAGACTTGGCCGCCTTCCAGGGTGGCAGGACCTGAAACAAACGAGACAGACGTCTCTTAATAACTCCACTCTTGGCCACCACTTCTAGACATGAAAAAGCAAACGAAAGAAAAGAGAAAACGAACGGAAAGCAAAGAGAAAAATAGAAGAGGGAAACGAAATCCCCCGAAGTCCTGAAGAAGAATGGAGAACGGACAGCGTTGGCGGTTCGGTGTGTTCGGAATCCAAAATTTTCTGCTCCCCGTCGTGGACGAGTCCATTCATCATGCATGACGGCTTAAATAATCACGTGTCTCGTGCTCGTGGAATTTTTACTTCAATTTCACTACGGGATCCAGTGTGCTGCGGTTGACTGATTTACGTTTCGCCGTTTCGCCCATCGGAAAATTTCACTAGAGCCTCGTCTCCACGTGTATTCCATCCGCGTGAAAGTTTCTGTCTGACCAGTCTCTCTTACGCACGTTTTTCCAATTGAAAGAAACAAAAACAGCGGGAATAAGAAGACTTACTTCGAGGTACGAGAATATCGGGACGTTTTATATTTACGCTTAGAGACGATCTCGAGGTTTGAAAGGAGATCCTGTAGGCTTTGTATGTTTGAAGGAGTGTACCGTCCTTGTGGCGACTAAAATAGGTGAAGTTTGGGAATTTTTTTGTGGGTAACTACTAAATGGGAATCTTCAATTTTTTTGGAGGATGTAAACGTGACTTTTGACTTTCCTCTCCAATTTTTAGGAAATAAAAATGTTGCAAAATGGAGGAGTTGCTGCGAAACCTCTTCTGCTAGAACAAACATTGGAAAGTTTGGGATAAAAAGTTCTTTTTGGTTTGTAAATAAAAGTGTATCGTTTACAGTGTAGCTTTGGATTTTTCGAAAATTGTTATTGTAGAAATGGTGGCAATTGGAGCAGGGAAAACTTCTTTTTATTAAAAAAAAATCCACTTTAAACATCTCTACGAAATTCAATAATTCAGGTATCGAGAAAATCGTCCAGTATATTCTATAACACATTTTTATTTGAGTGGTATTATTTGAGGCTTCCGGGTGTAAGTGTCCAAAAGAATTTACATTCCGACGTTTCGCCAGCATTGCAGCTAGGGTCTGGAGACGCACTGATAATT